GGAAAGGAGAGAGATTGCATTGATTGCTTGGGTGGTATTTATTTATCAATCTGGCCATGTTGAGTAACACAATGGGATGATAATGCTAAATCTAACATAAATTGTAATATTTGTATGTTAGTAATACACTTGGCTCAAAAAAATCAGCCAAATGAGGTTCTAATAGTAAACAAGTATTTGAGTATTTTTCACTGCAAAAAAAACTTGCTCAACTTCCTGCAGTTGACATGCAGAAACACCCAGGAAGCTTCTGTTGTTAATCAAACCATTCACCCAAAGTGATTCCACCAAGATTTGATTCACAGTCACTGTTCAGACTGCACAGAGACTGTGCCAAAACATCTACACATGAAAACAGATGGAGTTTGGATGGAAGCTTGGCTGGAGCATGCCGCATGTCAACTGCAATCAGTTGAGCAAGTTTCTTTTGAAGTGTTTTGCAATTTTTATTAGGGGGTATAAAATACAATAAATCCCCAATTAGAAACCAGTCAATTATTTAAAAATCAAGTTCTTCATTAATGAGTCCTTAGGGTTCTTGGTGAAGAACAAACAGGTTTTGAAAAGGGTGTATTTTATAAAACCTGCCAATTACATAATGGTAAATTTGGTCATATTTGATACCTCCTATTACAATAATTTTGAGTTTTTTTGCAAAATATGAAATGAATTTGCCATTCAAATACAATTTGGGAGTTTGGTGTAATTATAAAAATATGTTAGCCAAAGCACCAAATTTTCCAACTTCTAAGAAGCTTGGCTAACATTTCAACAGCTTATAATCATTTCAAGTAACCAGCAAAAGCCAATAATCATTCTTCCTCCTAAAAATATCAAAGTAAAAACAGAATATATTCAGAAAATATTCATATAATTTGGGCCTCAGTTTGTAGGAACATCTCTCCTCAAAAGTAATTCGGTTTCTGAATATGACATTCTTTCCATTGTTTCATTAAATTATTCATTATAAAAACTGTATTCATGCAAGTCTTAAAAACATCCATGGCTATATTATGTTATATTGTAGGATTATAAGCGCAATCACTGCAAAAAAACTGGCTAAACTGCCTGCAGTTGACATGCAGCATGCTCCAGCCAAGCTTCCATTTAAACTCAACATGTTTGCCTATGTGAAATTTTTGG